TGGGGGGCGGCCTTTCGTGACGCACTTCACGGGGTGTCAGCCGTGCAGCGGGGACCACAACCCCGAATACGGCGGGGATTCTTGCTCGGTCGGGATGGAAAGAGCGCTCAATTTTGCGGACAACCAAGTCCTTGGGAATTTCGGGTTCGTGCATAGGGACCTCCAGACGCCTTCCCCTCTCGCGCGTGTGCCGCGCCCTTAGCCACGACGATCCTCTCCATCCAGACTCCAAACTGTAGGGATTGTGAGAAAGGAAATATGAAATCACGATGATTGATTATCTTCTGGTCGTCTAAAGAGTACGGTTCGGTACCGAGAATATATTTTATTATTGAAAAAAAAAAGAATTACTCTTCCTTATTCAAGCTTATATAAAAAATTTGTTTATTTCCATATCTTGGTTGATGTGGTCACCTGCTGGCATCTTATTTCAGAGACCTTTTTATATATTTTTAAACGTTGAAATTTTTATTTTTAATTTGTAATTTTAAATTTAAATTTTTATAGTACTTTTTAGTTTGCCGTTTAATAGAAGAAGCAAAATGAAATAGATATGGCAGATATTATTAGAAGGTGGCAAAAGAAACCCTTGGAGAAACTTAAGGTACTAATGCAAGAGACAAAGAATCATGGTGGTAGGACACTAGTGTGCAAGAAAAGGTAAAGGTAAAGCGGGAACGTTTCAAGGAGTGGTCTTTATGTCGGAATGTGGAAAGTTGGAAAAGGTATAAGACACCTAAGACGGAGACAAAAGTGGCTGTAAGTGAAGCAAAAATGAGAGCGTACGAAGGGTTTTACCATTGTTTGGGTACGAAAGAAGGGGAAAGATGTATTTACAAGATCGCAAAGGTTCGAGAAAGAAAGATGCGGGATTTGGACCAAGTTAAGTGTATTAAAGATAAGAATGATGAAGTTTTAGTCTCCGATGAAAGCATAAATGACCGGTGGAAGAGCTACTTCAATGATTTGTTTAATGAGGAGCATGTGAATCTCTCATGCTCCGATTGGCTACACACGAGGGAGGTGGGCCAAAACTTCAATTATTATCGAAGAATTCAAGAAACTGAAGTTAAGGGAACCCTAAAACAAATGAAGAATAGCAGAGCAGTGGGCCCAGACAACATTCCGATTGAAGTTTGGAAAGGTTTAGGAAGAAAGCGCATTTGGTGGCTAACTAAGCTTTTTAATAAGATTTTAAGATCTAAGAAGATGCCTACTGAATGGAAGAAAAGCATTTTGGTTCCTATTTAAGAGAATAAGGGAGATATTCAGACTTGTAGAAACTATAGAGGGATCAAACTTATGAGTGTTACGATAAAGTTATGAGAAAGAGTGGTTCAACGGAGGTTGAGACAAGAGACTTCAGTGTTAGAGAACTAATTTGGTTTTATGCCAAGAAGATCGACCACATTGGCTATATACTTGGTGAAAAGAATGATGGAGAGGTATCAAAGTGAAAAGAAAGATCTACACATGGCTTTTATTGATTTGGAAAAAACATATGACAAGGTACCAAGAGAGGTTTTGTGGAAGATGCTAGAGAAAAATAAAGTAAGGATTGCTTATATTCGTGCGATTGAAGACATGTACGATGGGGCTACAACGAGCGTGAGATGTAAAACTAGGATGATAGGAGAATTCCCCATTGGTGTAGGATTACACCAAGGGTCATTGTTAAACCCATATCTTTTTACACTAGTTTTGGACGTTCTTACCGAGCATATCCAAGAATCTATACCATGGTGCATGCTCTTTGCCGACGACATCATCCTTATGAGCGAATCACGAGAGAATTTGAATGGGAAGTTAGATTCGTGAAGACAAGATTTAGAGTTGCATGCAATGGCTTGGGTATAAGTCGCATTAAAACACAGTATATGGAGTGCAAGTTTGGCAACAAAAGGAGAGACAGTAACATCGAGGTGAAAATTGGAGAAAATATTATACCACAAGTAAAGAGATTTAAATATCTTGGGTGTATCATTCAAGATAATGGAGAAATAGAGGATGATGTTAATCATAGGATTCAAGTGGTTGGTCAAAATGGCAGAGTGCATCGGGCTTTATATGTGACAAAAAAGTACCTTTAAAACTAAAGGAAAAATTTTACCGCACTGCTATTATATTAGCTATATTGTATGCGACAGAGTGTTGGGTAGCAAAGGGTGAACATGAACACAAGGTTAGTGAGGGGGAAATGGAGATGCTTTGTTGGATGAGCGGTCATATGCGTATGGATAGAATAAGGAATGAAGATATGAGAGCTAAAGTTAGAGTGACACCTATTTTGGGAAAAATGATAAAAATTTGTCTTAGGTGGTTTGGACATGTGGAGAGAAGACCAATAGAGCATCACGTGAGAAGGATCGACCAAATAGTGATAGGGATGTGGCTGGAGGAATATGTAGATCTAAGTGGACTTGGAAAGCATTGATCAAGGGAGAATTTTCCGTGAACAATCTTACAGCAGATATGATACACGATAGGGCGCCATGGCATCGTTTGATCCATGTAGTCGACCCCACCTAGTGGGATAAGGCTTTGTTGTTGTTGTATACTAATTTGTAATTAAAATAATTTTAGATGATGAACTTTGGCACTTCATTCAGAGAGTGACACAGAAAAATAATTTGCTTCTCCCAATCTATGAAATATACACAAGAAACATGGTTTTTTTACTTGGTTGTAACAAAAAAGTATCTCATCTTTAACTTGTAACAAAAAGTTACCTCATCTTAAAAAAAATGTAACAAATGGGCACCTCTTGCTGGAATTTTGTGAAACCGATTGGTGAGTGCTCATGTGGCATTCCACTTAGCTTCCTAGTGTATATGTGACATTTGATGTGAAAATTTCGTCGCCACACAATGACTACCGCTACCACATTGCCATGATGATAAGTTACAAGTTAATTTAGAAGTCATATGGAATGTCACATATACACTCGGAAGATAAGTGAATGGCTACATGTGCACTCACCGGCCAAATTTTTTAAATTTTGGCAAGGAGTGCCTCTTTGTTATATTTTTTTAAAAACTGAGGTACCTTTTTGTTACAAGTTGAAGATTGAGTACCTTTTTGTTACAATCCTCAAAGTTGGAGTACCTCACAAGTAAAAAAGCCTGGAACATGCAAAACCTTTGGAAAAGCTTTCTGCAACTTTCCTTCACTAAGCTGAGCATATAATGTGTATGATTTCCTTTCGCCTTCTGCGGGTGCGCACAAAGGACGACTCTATGTTACTTTTGGGGGACGACATTGTGTATAGATATTCCACAGGGAAGACAAAATCGTTTCTAATGCAGTGATATTTTCCACGGCACAACAAATTTATTTTTGTTCTTTGATTTGTTTTGCTTAATTAATGAAAAGTTTATCAATTTTGATTACAAAAAATCAAAACTGAACAAATTTTCTTGAAGAGAAGTCGTTTCAAACACATCAGCACTCTGTGGGATCCCTTAATAAAACCTCTTGAGTACCATCATGTATATCTTATTGAGAAAGATCCATATCTAGGTAATTCTTCACTCATCATTAATTCAGATATTGAATTCTCAACAATCTTGACATAATTAGATTCTCAAATTAATTAGAAAAAAACTACTCCGTATAAATTTATGCTTATTACAAAATGGCATAGGAACCTTGACCATGTTAGACCACGAACTATTGCTGGTCAAAAGTCAAAAAACAAGTGCATTAAGAGGATTCAATGCATGGCTTGCAAAAACAATCATTTTACAAAACGGGAGAGTTTACAAGTAGATGTTGATGTTCCTATACATCAACCCGCATCAAACGTGTACTCTCTCTCCCAAATTAAATAGTTTGTTCACTGTTAACAAGGTCAAACTTCATTCACTTTCTTTTCCTATTTCCGTTACATACTTGATAAAATAGTATAGTCATATCACCTCTTGTTCCGTAACTCTTTTGATGTAGTTTTTTAAATATGTAAGTTTTATTTTTTATATTTTGCTACAATTCCTATATAAATTATATTGAAAAATAACTTCAGTCAAATATCATAAACTCAAATATGTGATTTAAATAGGACAAAGAGTTAGAAATATGTGATTTAAATAGGACAGAAAGAGTTAGAGAATGTTTACTCTCAAGAAATATACGAAAGCTCCCGTCGTTCCAACTTCAATGAAGCGCCTTGGCATCCTTTTGGTGGGACTTATAGGCCTTCGACATGAAATACTTCATTTTAAGTTTTTGTATGCAAGTCCAAGTGTGAATGCCAATACACAAGCAACAGGTCTAAGGTGTTTGTTCTGGAGTAAGGTCCGAGTGCTGGCGACCTTGTTCATGTGAAGCAAATGAGATGGAGAACAATTTGTGCTTAGATATGTAGAACCCTAGCTGTCGCACTCTAAAAAAATGATCATTGAGTTTGCATTGCCAATCTAAAGGAAACAACGTGAATCCCCTCCTCCATGCACCAAGTAGGGCTATCTAGAGACGAATACCTATGGCGCACAAGCCCACGAATAACTTAACAAATAGCCCAAATTGGCTCAACATGCTGGACCACCCTAATACATGGGCTAACATCCATACTAACCATCTAAGTCTTTCTACTAGAAGGAAAATCTTCGTTACACGGACATGCTTCAACCCCCGGCCATGGCCTTGGCTGAGCTTCACCATCCTTGCACTCGGAGTGGGTCAAAACTAGCCCAGGTCCTTTAAAAGGTCTTTTGCATGAGCCCCTATTTTAGATCTTCGACTATTCTCGAAAGGTCGGATATCCCATTCCTTATCCATCAAGAATGTCTTACTTCTCGAATGGAGGGTAGCGACATTCGTTAGAACTTAGAAGTAAACAATTTCTGTGAAGTCCTCATACGAAAAAAGAAAGAGGAGAGCAACATAACATGACGTGCTATTCTACATCTGCACTATAGCACATCACTCTATTGGGATCTAAAGGTGAGGAAGTACCCAACCTTAGCTCCGTAAAAAAAAACAAAGCTCGTTTGTGTTAAACCATTGCATTTCTACATTTATTCCCAAAAACTTAAAAACTTCTATAAAGTAAGAATAAAAAGTTAAAAGAGTCATTTCAAATACGTCATACCATTGGTTTAGAAAAACAATAACAAATATATACAGATATTTAAGACGTTGTAACAATTAAAATACTCGTTTTGAAGATAACTCGAGGATTGCTACGCTTTTGCTGGCTTGCAGTTGGCACACATTGGTTTGGCATAGCTTTATTTAGCATTTTACAAGATGCTGCTACAAGCAGCATATAATTGCGCACTCAGGTCTTCTCATGCAGATGATGATGCTGTACCAAAGCGAATAATGCCGCTTCTATCAGGCTGCAGCCTCTTCATGTAATATTTTGACCCACGCGAGAGATTGATTCTTTTCCTTCTCTCCACTGGTATCTGATCAACGGAACATTCCGAAAAGCCACGCCTTACAAACCTATCAACAACAACAACAAAAACAGTGCAGTTGAGTTTTGGACCATGATACAAGTAGATAAAGAAACAATTCTTGTTTAGTTGAACACATACCAGTCTGCTGTGCGAGTCGTGAGGAGAAAAAGCATTTGTATCCCAAGAGAAGATGCCTTCTTTTCAATGTAATCTGCACACACACCCGGAGTCAGTCAGATGTTGCAGTGCATATACAGTGGCAGACCATTCTCTTAGTAGCAATTAGAAGTACACAACAGTTCTTTTGACCTTTGTTTTCAAGGTCATATTATGACCCACGGCCTCTACGGTGCTCCGTTGGTAAAATTGATGGTTCTTACCACCCCCTGCCCCCAACACCCCCCCACCCTAGATCTCCGATTTGGCAGTGATCTAGGGTGGGGTGCTGGGGTGGGCAAGGGCGGTTGGGGGGTTAGGAATCATCAATTTCACCAATGGAGCACCGTCGGTGCACCAATATCCCAAGGTCATTTAAGGTCAAAATTGGCTCGGGTCAAAAGATCCTTTCCCTATCCCTTAGAAGTAATATATTATTCTTATACATACCGAGTAATTTGTCTCCCTGCCCTTGGCCACGACATTCAGGAGAAACAGCAATTGAAGCAACCTCAGCACAATTTTCTTTTAAGAAGGGGAAGAGAGCAGCACAGGCTATGATTTGACCCTCTCTTTCAACTACAACAAATGATTCCAAGGCCTCAAGAAGCTGGAATAGAAAAGATCAGTACTTACAGAACTTGTTAGTTTTGTTTGAGGGGGATTTTATGCGAGAAAAAAATCACTCAAGCGACAACTTGATGAAGTGCCAATGACAATCTGTACCGGCACTAGAGATAGGCAGGAATGTAGACGACATATAATCCAAGTTGCACCAAGAAAGGGACATGCACTTATAGGACGGGGTTGGAAGTGTGATAACGCAAATTTTTTTAAAAATTTATAAAGGATTTGGGTGTCGGGACGTCTCCAAATACCCGACCTGGGACGTCTCAGGGGCGGGAAGCGGCACTTATTTGACGAATGCGTGCAACATATCATATAACCCCATAATTCTGGAGGCCTGTGATTTTATGAATATGCATTTAATTTTTTTAATATATATTGTGTATCTTACCAGTTCTGTTGTTTGATATTTGCAATTTGTATTAAATGTTGTCTAAATTAATTGTAGTAATTTGTTCATTAAGAACATTTTTTAATCTGTTGCATTTTTATTTTTATTTTTTGAAAGCAAACATGTTTTATAAAGATATTTTGTTATCTTTTTTTTAAAATCTTTTTAATATGTTTTTGATGTTTATGAATACTTTGAGTACAATATATTGCTCAGTATCTGAATTGTGACTCAAGTTACTAATTGTTTGTGTAGTTCGTGTACAAAACTACAAATAGCAAGTTTGTGTAGTTCATGACCCAATTGTTTGTGACTCTAGCATCACTCTTATAGTAATGTTACTAAAGTACTAAAATTCTCATTTATAAATTATGAATTGTCACCTAGATCTATCACCTTAGATCTATCTTCCGTCCTCCCTTACCACCCCTAACACCTGACTCCCCCTTCGGCCTTAAACCTATCACCAGATTTCACCAGCCTTAATCCTCTACCCTACCCCTTCCCTAGTGCAGCCTCTCCCTGACCTAGCCCCCACGCATACACACTCGGCCCTACCTAACCCCTACCCCTGCCACAACCCTGCTCTTTTTCTCCCCGTTTTCTTTTTTTCTTTTAGTGCTATTGACTTCTCCTGTGATTTTAGTGCTATTTATTGCTACTAAAGGTAGACGGTTTGAAGCTGTGGTATTCAGGCTTTGCTAGGAAAAAGAATGGAGTTGGTAATTTTGTGGGAACAAAGCTGCAGGAATTTGTGGTGCAGGTGAAGATGATTAGGGATCGGTTGATGGCTATCAAGCTAGACTTGGGTAGATGTGCGATCAATGTCGTGAGTGCCTATGCCCCTCATCTTGGCTTGGAGGACGAAGTTATGATGGAATTTTGGGACTCGCTGGATGGGGTGGTAATGGGTTTTCCACAGAATGAGAAAGTCATTATTGGAGGCGACTTTAATGGCCATATTGGAGACTCGGCTGAGGGCTTTGAGGAAGTGTTTGGTGGTTTTGGCTTTGGTGATAGGAACACGGAGGGAGTTTAACTTTTGGAGTTTGCCATAGCGAGTGATATGGTCACGAACTCTTGTTTCCCAAAACGGGTTGACCACTTCGCTACATTTGTTGGTAGAGAGGAGAGGACACAGATCGACTACCTCCTGTGCATGTGTGACCGGGTGCTCTGCTGAGACTTTAAAGTACTCCCAACTGAGAACCTTGCAACCCAACACAAATTGTTGGTAATGGATGTGACGATCAGGTAGGTGAGGCAAAGGCAAAGTACAGGTGGTCCAACACGTACACGGTGGAGGAGCTTGGGTGGGAAAAAAATCAGAGTTGATCGTGTGTGCGCAAGAGAAAGGTGCGTGGGAGTCCTCTGGGGAGGCCACGGGAGGCCACTGACATGTGGTCGCACACTGATAACTGTAATAGGAAAGCCACCAGTGTGAATCGTGGTTTTGGGAGAAGGCATAAAGGTGACAAGTAGGGAAGTGATATGGTCCGAAGTAAGGTGGAAGCTAAAAAGGTGGTGTATCTAAGGTACGTGGATTGTAGTGAAGAACAGGATAGAGTGGCCCCACAAGCAGAGTATAAGATTGCTCGTAAAGAAGCTAAGTTAGAGGTTACGAGGGCAAAAAATGCGACCTTTTTAACACCTCTATAAGGACGGTGATAAGCAACTATTCCAGTTAGCTAAGGCACGGGATTTAGACAATGTGAGATGAGAGAATGGGGTAGAGTGTTGTTCGAGATGGCAGAAGTGGCTCAGCGGTGGGGGTGGGGAGTACTTTGGTGGGCTCTTAAATGTGGGAGTATAAATAGGTGTGCTGGGGCAGTCCGAGGCACGTCGAGACTTTGGGTATTGCTGATGCATTAGTACGGAGAGGTGGCTTAGGCCATCCGAGGGATGCATAGTGGGAGAGTAGTGGGGCCAGATGAGATTCTAGTGGAGTTTTGGAAGCATGCGGGTCGTTGTAGGTTAGTACAAATAACCAAATTCTTCAATGTTATTTTCATGATGGCTAGGATGCCTGACGAGTGGAGGAGAGCATGTTGGTCCCTCTATTTAAAGGTATGCATTTAGAGTTGCGAGAATTACAGAAACATCTAACTGCTTGGCCACACCATGAAAGTTTAGGAGCGAGTCATTGTGTATAGGCTGGGAAAGAGGTGTGCATTCCTAAGAACCAATTTGGTTTCATAGTTCATACCGGCAGATCGACAATAAAGACCATTCATCTAGTACAGAGATTGACGGAAGAGTATAACTTGATGAGGTATTTGTTGACCTTGAGAAGGTGTACAATAGGGTGCCAAGGGAGGTCCTGTGAAGGTGCCTTGAGTCAAGAAAAGTTCTGATCGCATACATCCGCGCGATCAGGACAGCAAGGCAAAGATGATCATCAGATCGGGGTGTCTTTAAGCCTTTCGCCGTAGAGGTGGGTTGCACTAAGGGTCTGCCCTTAGCCCTTTCTTGTTCGCCCATGGATGTCTTGACGAGAGGAGTTCAGAGAGAGGTCGTGGTGCATGTTTTTTGTGGATGATATTGTGCTTATCGACGACACTCGCGAGTTGAACTTTGGCGCCTTTTCCTAAAATCCAAGGGATTTAGACTAAGAGCTTGTTCTTTAGGGCTTGAACTCTTAACTTCCAGTTTCTTCCAGTTCTTCCAGTTTCTTCCAGTTCCTTCCAACTATTCTCATTTTCTTCAAACTCTTTCTACTCCCAACCAATTACTCTAAAAACGATATATTTTTAGTGTGATTATTATTATTATTATTATTATTATTATTGTCATTGTTATGTTCATAACTATTTTATAAATTATTTTTTTCATCTCCCTATTTTTACGATTCACAGTCATTATTTTTTTCTTCAACTTTTAAATATGAATAAGACAATTTTTTTTGTATATATTAATCTACATGATAAAACAGGAAAATATCAATATGTTAAACTATATTAAAAAATTATGGATAAAATAGTAACATAGAATGTTTTATTAATCTGACTTTATATAAGACCCCTTACATTTCCCTTTATTATTTAAAATTTTCTCATTTTTCAAATTTTTATAAAAAAGATTGAAAGTCAAAATAATTTAGAGAAAAAGACTAAAACAAGAGTAAAACATAAGAAATGTAAAAAAAAAGTTATATGTCTTTATTCTAAAAATAAGACCTTAATGAAAATAAAATGTCAATCATGAAGGAAAAAATAGGTTTGATTACAATATGTGACATGTTTGATATTTAAAACAAAATCTTGTAATATACTCCCTCTGTCCACAAATAAACTTCTCGTTCACTATTCACAGGATCAAACTTTATTCACTTTGTTGACCTATTTTCGTCACACATTTGATAAAATAATATAGTCATGTCACCTTTAGTTTTGTAGATCTTTTGATATAGTTTGTTAATATGTAATTTTTATTTTTAAATTTTACACCATTTTGCATATAAAATGATTTGAAAATAACTTCAGCCAAACATCATAATGCGCAACGGGAAGTTTATTTGTGGACAGAGTATAAAGTATAATTAGAAATATATTATTTATAATAAATACTGCATAAATAAATTGAGGTGCAACGTAACCACAAAAACTTTTTAAAATTTAATATTTTTATATTTATGCTAACTTTATATTATAATTATTTTTTTGCAAAAGTAGTTTTTGTATTTGAAAAATAACAATACTTTTTTTTTATTTTAAAGACATTCATTAAGATAACGTGATGATTATGATGATGATGATCATAATAATAATAATAATAATAATAATAATAATATAATAATAATAATAATAATAATAATAATAATAATAATAATAATAATAATAATAATAATTTATAACAACAAGAATTTAAAATAAATTTTTTTAAAAGTTTTTTAAGGTTTTCTAATTTTTTCAAGTTTTTTCAGTTTCTTCCAGTCTTTCCAATTTTTGTAGTTTCTTCTAGTTTTTTCCAATTTCTTCCAGTTCCTTCCAGTTTTTTCCAGTTTCTTCCAACATCAAGCTCTTTTTTTCCAGTCCTAAAGAACAGGCTCTAAGTAGGACTAAGGCTGAATACATGAAATGTTGTTACAATGGTCGGAAGGCGAGACCTGGGGTGAAAGTTAAGATTGGTTCTCACCTAGTGCCCAATGTGAACAAGTTTTGGTATTTGGGCTAAGTCATTTAGGCAGATGGGGAGTTGAACGGCCAGAGTGCTGGGCAGTCAAGAAAGTGCATGTTCGTCTAAATGTTGTAGAGATGCAAATGTTACGGTGGACGTGTGGGCAGGACTTTAAACGAGGTACAGTCGAGTAGGCATGACACTTGTAGAAGATAAGCCGCGGGAAACTAAGTTGAGATGGTTTGGGCATGTGAGGCGGCGGAATGTTGATCATGCAGTGCATAGATGCGAGAGACTTATGTTGGTGGGGAGAGCAAGGGAAAAGGTATGCCTGAGAAGAATTGGAAGGATGTGATTAAACTTATTATTGAGGATATGATCTTAGATAGGAGCATTTGGAGAGATATGATTAGAGTAGTTGGGTAGGCACTTCAGGCTAAGGGTAGTCTTCTATACTTATTGTGTGTGCATTGTATGTCTTTTATGCTTGGTGCTTTTTTATCGGGGTATTCTTCCTACGTTAACTTTAGTTTGTTTTCATCTATTCTGTATTTGTGCTTTCTCAACTGGATCTCCTATGATCTTTTGTCTACTTTATTATCTCTGATGCATTATTATCTTTGGACATATTTTTATTTGTGCACCTTGAGTCGGGGCCTCTTGGAAACAGCCTCTTTACTTTTGAGTACGGGCAAGGTTTGTGTACACATACCCTCCCCGACCCTACTTTCGTGGGATCTAAGTGAGTTGTTGTTTGACTTGTCACCTAGTCGACTAGGCATCCATGCAGTACACCGGTGGTGAGAAAACTATGGCATATACTCCCTTCGTCCCAAAACAATGAAAACACTTGGTCAAGTTTCTTTTTCGCCAATCTAAAAAATCCCCCTTTCCCTAAAAGAAAGAAATCTATGATTCATATTCTCTCTTCTATATAAATGTCAACCACGCAATTTCATTTTCTTAAACTTTGTATGAAATAAAACTTGGCATAGTCCATTGGGATAGAGAATAACACTTTTTGAGTACTCTGTACAAGTAGGTCTCCTATCATAACGACAAACCTAGTAAAATCCCAATATTAATGGATCTTGGGGGGTGTACACAACCATACCCCGTGGAGAGGTTGTTTCCAATAGACCCTTGGCGCAATGCTGCGATTACTGCCCAAAACAATAAACTAAAAAGCAAGGGAGTTTAAATTTAGTCCATTATTTAGCTGAAGGAAGCTAAAACATGATAAAAATGACTCTTTATATTGGATTTACCGTTGTATATGCAGTAATGCAGACCCTATTTTTTAGCGCTTAAACTCTTGACTTCAATTTTTCCAGTTCCTTCTAGTTTTTTTCAGTTCTTTCCAGTTTTTTCCAGTTTTTTCCAGTTTCTTCTAATTTTCCCAACTATTCCCATTTTCTTCAATCTTTTTTAATCCCAAATAATGACTCCAAAAATAATAAATTTATCATGTATTATTATCATTATTATTATTACTACTATTATTACTATTACTAATATTATTATAACTATAGTTTATAAATAATTTCAATTTTTCTATTTTTATTTTTCTCATGTCAATATTTTTTAAATTCACACTCACTGTTATTTCTTCTTCTATTTTTAATATAAATAATACGTAATACAATTTTATTGGGAAAATTGTTCTTTTTTAATTTGCATTACACTAAACTATGTTCTAAAAATTATAATACTTCATTAATCTAAATTGACCTGAAAAATATCAATATTTTAAATTTAAAAATAATAATTATACTACTCTCTCTATTACTAATTAAATGACATTTATATTATTAACGTGGTCAAATTTTATTCACTTGTTTACCTATTATGAATATAATACGTAATTAATAAGAATAATAATAAATAATAATAATAATAACAACAACAACTATAACAATTATAAGAATACTATGTAAAATATACATAAACAAATTTTTGAAGTTTTTTCCAATCTCTTCCAGTTTTTTTCCAATTTCTTACAGTTTTTTTCCAATTTCTTCCCGTTTTTCCAGATTCTTCCAGTTTTTTCGTGATTCATCCAATTTTTCCAGTTTCTTCTAATGTCCAGCTCTTTTTCTACAGCTCTGAAGAATAGGCTTGTAGTCTCATAATGTTTGCATTGTTTATAGAGTTGTGCTAATGATAGCAATTACGATGGCTTCAAAGAAAATAAATATTTTGAAACAAAAAGTGATAATATTATACTTGCATGCAACAACACCTAGAAAAAGATTTGGGGGCTACAATTGTAAACAAGTGTTGGAAATAAACATTATTTTAAAGACTACTAATGATTTTACATCTCAAACTGCTAACGATAATTTAGATTGTTTAAATGATAACTTAATGCTTATATGGAGTATTTGTTTTGAATTTATGTATATATGTTACTAACTTCCTATAGTTTTTCAACATTTCAAGTGGAGTAAAATATCGCTTAAAATAAAGGGCCTCATGGTTATAAAAGGATAGATATTTGTATAAAGAAGATAACCAATATTTGAAATGGCGTATTGCGGATATGAGGCATTTTTTCCCATGGCGTATTGTGTAAGCCTCGGGGCGTATGAAGGCGTAAGCCTCATCTTTTAAGTTTAAAAATGTCCATAAAACATTTTTACAAGTGAAGATAGAACATTATATATAACATAAGTAATCCATTAACATTAAAAAAGTATATTGTCAAAGTAAAGATCTCAAACTCAACAAAGTCTAACATGAAATAATAGAAATATTGGCTAAGGTGATGAAATAAAATTGACAAATGCAAATAAAAATAAAGATCATCGGTTCTTAACGGCTTGAAATTAGGACCAAAAGATGTTGTTCATTCATCATCTTCCTCGGAATTGATAAACAAAACAAAAAAACAGCAATTAAAAATCCAAATATCAACAAAACTAAAAAAAATAAGCATGTGGTGCATTAAAAATACATTAAAAATTAGATTTAAAAAAAGTTGCAAACCATTAAAAAACATCTGTAACAACACGTGGCAGTACATGCATAAAAACATATGCACTACTATAAAAAATCTGATCCTCTTTATACATCAAATTAGAAATAAGCCAAAAAAAGCATCTAAAACATTGCATAGCTGCTATGCCATAGCCGAAACTAGAAAAAGGAAAATCGAACCTGATGAAGAGGGACAACGTTGTAGACGAAGAGGCGATATGAAGAAGATGAAGAGTTACGATTATCGAAGATGCAGTCTAGGGAGATTAGGTCATAGGCGCAAGGTATAAACGGAGTAACAAATACATTTAATTTTTGGTAATTGACTAATTTAACCTTGAGTTTTAAAAAAATTGACAACAAAAATTGTGTAAGCCTCATATAAGCCCCATTGCGTACGCCATGGGGCGTACGTAATCTTGCACTATAGCGTATAAAAGCTTATCATGTAAAGGCTAAATAGGCAATATAGCGTATTTTTCCAAATAAAGGTCTGAGGCACGCCTCGTGGCGGGATTCCGCCCCGCCATTTCGAACGGGTTTCCACCTCGCCTTCCCTCCCTTTGCCCGCCGACCTGTCCCCCGCCCTACCCCCTCGCCGTACCGGAACCTGAACTCAGCTACCCCTTACCCCACCACCTGTCCCTCCGGCTTGCCGCCGCCGACCAGTCCCTCCGGCCTCGCCCTTCGTCGCCAACCAGCCCCCCGACACCACCCCCGCACCCACCCTCAGATACCCCCCC